ATTTTCCCATAAACGAAATGATGTTTATCATGCCTCAGTTCAAAGCAGAAGGGAATTTTAAAAATAAAGATGAAGCTACACACATGAAAATTCGTTTTCATGCTGTTCTTGGTAAAAGCCCCTGAGGAAGTATGGTCATTGATTAAAATCAAGAAAGTGATCAGTATGAAGAAGGATGTGATTTTCGAAAACACGGTCCAGAATGTTAAGTATGTGGTTGCCAGGGCAAATGGAAAGATTTGCGAATTTACGATTGCTGATTTTCCTTTGATGAACTTGTATGATCTCATACAAGTTGCTTTGCTCTTAAAAGACAAATCATTTTCATTCCTTCAAAACACTGAACCGGATGAATTCAAGCTTGGAGTTGCTCACATCAAGATTTTTATCGAAAATTATTATGAGTGCTTGGCACTAACAGATGTGGAGTTAGCTACTGCCAAGGGAATGGAAATAAAAGCCCCGATCGCTCCTACGAAGACTCAGGCAGATTTGAAGAAGTATGCTGATGGTGAAATTTGCCTGAAGCCTTTTGGTTTGGTCTTCGCAGGAAAAGACAAAGCTGGAAAGTCTAAACGGTTCTTATTTCAAGCAAGTGAAGTCGAGAGATATTCTACATCTCAATATACGAACTTGATTGTCCGTATGAATTATTGCAAGAAGAATAATGAAGGTGATAAGAAAGAGCTGAAGAAGATTATCTCATGGTACACGGAGATTCGAAGAGTGTTGATGTATTCCATCACGCTTCTTACAAATTGAAGACTTCGACTATGATTACAAAGGGGGAGATTGTAAGGGTCGAATTGTTGTAATTAGTCGAAGTATGTTTTGTACTCTTCGAATATTTTGTAATGTATTTTACTAGGGTACTTTTATTCGAAGCTTTAGAGTCTATGCCTTAGTATATTTTTTGTACGCTTTCAGTTCCCTATAAATATGGTTATTTACTAGAGTTAGATAAGAACTTTTACAGACTTGTCTCTTGCACTCTGTAAAGAATTCGAAAGCGTAATAGAGCATAACAGATCATATTTACATTCCGTGTTCATATCTTGCACTCTTACTTGAATTCATACTCTGATTAATTCGTTACTCGATTCTTTAGTTCATCAGATGTAAATAATCAAATTTACCCTATAACATAGGCTGTTGTTGAGGTTGAAAACACAGTTAATTGGAAATGGTTCTTGGAACTAGACAGTGAAGATCTTTAATTGGATGCTGGAAGGGGATTATGTGTCATTAGTGATCAACACAAGGTAATGACAAGTTCCTTTATTTACATATCATCTATTGTACTTGCTAATAACAGTTACTAATATACTTGTTCATGTACTAGAGTATTATTGAAGCAACAAAGGAAATTCTACCCCATGTAGAGCACAGACAATGTGCTAGACATATTTATGCAAATTTTAGGAAAGCGTATAGTGGGATAGAATTCAAAAACATGTTTTGGGCAGCTGTAAAATCCACACCAGAAGGGGATTTCAAGATAAACATGGAAAGAATCAAGACTTTGAGTGAAGGTGCTTATGATCATCTTATGGCTAGAGACCCTCATTCATGGTGCAAGGCATATTTTGGTGGTGGTTTGGCATGTGAGGTTGTAGACAATGGGATTGCAGAGTGTTTTAATGCAATCATTGTAGATGCTAGAAAGAAGCCTTTATTGGCTATGATTGAAGACATAAGACTCTACATGATGGAAAGGCTCTACAACTTAAAAGAGGAAGCATAGAAATGGGATGGTGATGTGTGTGAAGCAGCACTTCTGGAGATGGAGGAATTAGGTGAGGATATAAGGTATAAATTTTATTTCATATTTAAATGTTAGTTTTTAATTGAGTATGTATACTAACATAAGTGTTTATATTTTCAGGACTTGGTATGCAGTACCAAGTAGTGTTAATACATATGAAATTAGGAATAGCTTTCAGAGTTATGGAGTTAACTTGGTACACCATTACTGCAGCTACATACTGTGGGAGATATCAGGGATACCTTGTGTGCATGCACATGTAGCAATTTTATACACCAACCAAGATCCAAAGGAATTCATTAGCACTTGGTTTAGCAAGAGTAACGACATGGCTACATACCAGTCTAACATACTTCCAATAAATGGACGTAATTTGTGGGAAGTTACTAACTATACCAAGCCCCTACCACCTACAGTAAGGACAATGCCAAGAAGACCCAATGTTAAAAGAAAGAGACATGCCTATGAGCATGAGGACAAGTACCCCCAAGTGTCTTCCAAGGGAAGAACTGTCCAGTGCAAGAATTGTCTTCAAAGGGGACATAATAAAACATCTTGCAAAAATCTAAAGGTTGTCCCTGAACCAAAACCCAAAAAGAAAATGGGCAGGCCCAGGTTCGATCCTGATTTAACTAACTGGATAGGATGTAGAAGAGGTGATAGAGGAGGAAACAGAGGTGGGGGTAGTGGATCTGGTGGAAAAGGCAATAGAGGTGGTGGCAGGGGATCTGGTGGAAGAGGCAAAAGAGGTGGTGTTATGGGATGCGGTGGAAGAGTGAATACAAATTTTGGTGAGGGAACTTCCAAGTTTCCAAATGTTGAGAATTAAAATTAAGTTACTCCTACTGTTGACAATGAAGTTAGTCCTGAAGTGGTGAGTCCTGAAGTGATGAGTCCTGAAGTTAACAATGAAGTTAGAGTAGATGTAAAGAGTGATATTCAATTCATGAGAGAGTCAAATTACACTACAGAGGAGATTTTGGACTGTCTTGGAATCAATGAAGAAGAATTACATGAATTTAAAGGTTTAAAACAAGTACATGTGGAGCTTGATATATCACAAGTATGCTTTATAATGTTTAATTTCCCTAACAATATTTTGTTATGCTTGTTACAGGCTTTTGGATTTCCTAGTCATAACTATAGAAACAGTCTCTGAAAGTCAACCATCTGGAGCTGAAGTGATGGATCAAGAGGGTATGGGTGAGGAGGACATGTATCAACATGATATGGGTCTAGAGGTGATGGATCATGAGGGCATGGATCAAGAGGACATGAATGAGGATGGAATCAATGCAGATGGAATGGGTGTACATGGGATGGCTCAGGAGGGAATCAATAAAGATTACATGGGTATAGAGGGGATGGATCAGGAGGCCCTGGGTGTGGAGGATATGCATCAAGAGGACAATAGAAGGAGGAGGCCAAAAATGAGAATACGAAAGCCTTCTGAGAGGATAACAAAAATACAGTTGAAGAAAATGGTGATTGTAAAAAATGGGAAGGGGATGAGTTCATCCAACCCACTTAGCTTAGATTAGGGTGTTTCTAACCCATGCTTTTGTTGATAACATGTAAAAAAACTTTTGGCTTTGGGCAAATATAGATAGCCCTTTTTGTTAATAACCCATTTTGTTTATAGCCATCTAAACTTTAGGCATTGGGCCCCTTGATTATGGTTTTGGTTAATATTACATGTTCTATGATAAAAATGGTTTATCTTTCTTTAAGTTGATTATATTGTATATGTGTATGTTGTTAATTTCATTCCAGTGCTTTAATCATGATTACATTGTTTAGTTAAATGGAATTCCAACCATGTTTGATTCCAGCCATACTTGACTCCGGTCACAAATGATTCCAGTCATTCCTAATGCCATTGTTTATTCATTCAATTCACCACTGCTTCTATTGTTTATTGATTCCATTCATTAAGCATTCCATTTATGACTGATTCCATTCATTGTTAATTGATTCTATTTATTGTTAATTAATTCCATTCATTCATGATTACATTAGAAACACTTATAAGTCCTACATAAACATAAACTTGTTAAGCCATTTCATTACATAATGGGACACAACATAATACATATTCCAAAAGACAGTGATAGTACCCCCAACATACATAACTCAAACACATTAATACTAGCCAAACAAACACAACCAAAACACTACTTCCCGTCAATATTCTGTCTGTCCTACCAATCCTTCAACATCACCAAAACAAACAAAAAAGAAACCATAAACACATAAAACAATGATTTCCATCTTCCACCTTCATTTCCATTCAGTTGATGAATGTACACTTCTTCCATGGGTTGTTGTGCTACTGGTTGTTCGACAATGCCTCCAAAAAAAAGTTCCCCTCGACTTGTTGTTGTCCAAACTCCCTAAATATTGCATTGTTCTCCAAATTACCATTGTTGTGAAATTCTAGTAAGAGATTTGCATACCACTAGTTTGGTAGAGGAGGATCCACCCAATGAAAGTATTTGCAGTCTTTGAGTTCATCCTGGTAATTTGGGCAGCCTATAAACCTTCTTCCTGGGTTTAACGGAGTCCATGAAATCCATCTTCCAACAGGATCACCACAATAGCACCTACTTCTTAGACGATTCATCTCTCTTCGATTTGCTTCCTACAGAAGATGAAGATGACAATTGTGGATCCTCCTCCTCCTTCGATTTCTACCTGGTTCGATTTTAGGGCACGAGTGAATGAAACTCTTCTGCGTGCGTATGAGCTTTATATTTGACTCTCTTTAGTGACTCACATCCACCTCGCCATGTCCAGTCCACATAGACATTTGTAACCGGTTAAATGAGGGTTACCGGATGAAGATGATTGAATTGTTAGGTTTATCTGGTTTACTTTAGTCGGATATAACGTTATATTTTAATATATTATTACGATGTGAGGGTGTCAGCCCCCGTTATTTTTAATTCTTGGTTCTGCCCCTGTTTGTTTGTTTCATTATTTATTATCAGTTGTATTTTAATATCATTTATTAGTTTGCAGACTTCAAAGAAGAACCACTTTTTTTGTAGAGATGAGACATTTAGTCGACATATTCTTCTGCAATATGGTTTTAAGACTGCAAATGTTTATTTTTGAAAAAACAAATTTAAAAGAGAGTCTTGCAACAAAACGAGTGTTATATGCGACCTTATATGTTTTGAGTAAAATTTTCAAATTCATTGAAACTTATCCTAATTTAATAGGCTCTAATATGCATCAAGTAAGCTCTTTTGAAGCAATCAGGGTTATTCCACATCAAAATATACTTTGTATCACCAACTTCAGTATTATCTATACATTTTTAAGACTCCACCACATCTGTCACGAACTCACGATACATATAGTCATATACCATAAAAGCTAATATTATTCGCATTTCCATATCATACAAGCAAATACTATATTCCAAATCCAACCCTGCATGTTCACTACTATCCGCGTCAAGTAGTAGCTTACACGAGGAGGTTTGATAATATAATATATAAAATATTATTATATATAACAACCAAAACCATGTGTACGTAGCATCTTATAATGATTCAATTAGTCACTTGCGGCGAGCTTCTTTAACCTTTTTCTTTGGGGCTGCATCTGGAATTGGAATCGCAATTTCAGAATTGGCACCACCATCTTTCGTTTCTTTACTTACGCTGATCGCAATTTCAGACTTGGCACCACCATCTTTCATTTCTTTACTTACGCTCTTTCTGATGAAGCTGGCTATACTCTTGGCGTGGTTTCTATATTTAATGCCAACAGAGGATTGTAGAAACTCAATCATCTTTTGATCCGATTTCCCAAAAAACTGTCGCCAAAAGAAGGAAAAATTGAGGGATGAACGTTTAATTACCACATCATCATGTCAAGTATAGCTATTGATTAACATCATGCCACATCAACAATCAAGCAACAAGCTAGAAAACAACCTAACATAAAACTGTGTTTATAATTTGATTAAAATATATACCTTGTCCTTGTAGAGTTTCTTGAGATCAGTAACACTAGTAATATCATTCTCCACCAGCTTCGTCAAGTTTTTGGGTCCTACTCCTGGAATTTTCAACAAATCTGGATCTCCGGTGAGAACCGGCGCCGGAGAATTATCCAATCCCGTGGGCTTCACCTCCAAAGCCGACAACCATGTATCAGCGTCACAACCACCGTGGCCTTCAGTACTTTTCTTTGCAGAAATCAAAAACCCCTTATGATCAGATGAAGTAGAAGAGATACGAGCTAACCAGGCCAAATGAAACCCACTTAGACTCTCCTTAAACACAACACATGCTCTGTCTGGAAGAGCTGTAATACGAAACCGGTAACCAGAGCTCAAAGTGTAACGATGGGAACTCGAAGAAGACGTGGTATAATTACACACGGGTTTCTGACCACTAAGAGTGAGCATACCGGAACTAGGCAAGTGTAACGCGGTGGCGGCCGGCGTCATTATGGGAGGAAAATGATTAGGGAATGTGTTGTTTAAAGCTTAGAGAATGTAGGCGTTTGGTGCTTTTTGCTTAAACCCTGGAGGGATAAGGAGAAAAGGAGGGGGTAATATAGTAGATGAAGGCAGGTGATCGGGGGCCCTGAACAAGGATTTCAACGCTGTAGCATATGCAAAATGTACTTACAAGTATTTCCTAGCAAAACTCACTCGCTTTTTTTTTTTTTTTTTTTTCTTTTGAAGTACTGCAACTCAAAAAGTACACTTCATAGGAAACTTTCAACAAACCAAAGAGGAGTTTTTTACAAAGAGTAAAACGAAAACAAAGACACAATCAATTTACGTGATTCACACGGTCAGAATGATCGATTATGTACACAGTGATCACAAGAGAGATTTTTTCTATTAATTCCATCCAATGGTTTTTCAATGATACATTAGTTTACACGAATTTAACGGATATAAAACTTCTTGTTTGGCTTAAAACTGTCGATAATAACAAGCTACAAACTCTCACTAAAAACTGGACGAAATTAAAGGCGAAGGGTCTTTATGAAACTATGCATCGGGAATGGTTTTAGAAGAATGGGGAAGAAAAGCCTTTTGGTGTGTTTCACACCATTACCTATTTGCTTTCATTTTACTTTTTTCGCGATAATATTTTTCAGACATCCATTAGACTTTAGTACTTTACAAGCTAAAAAAACAAATCCGGATGGGTGGTGAGGGTGCGAGAATAATTTCCAAACTCCACGTAAAAAAGTGATTCAAATTTTCATCAAACGGCATATTTCTAGTTAAATAAAATGATTTATTATTTCATAGTATATTGTTGGAAATTTTCGTATATATCTGTGTTAAGCTTTAAAACATTATTTGTCCAGCCAAAATCTAAATATTATATTTATTCTTTTTAACTTTTAAAATATCGTATTTGCTCAAATTTAGTTTTTAAACTCTTTTAATCTGTTTTTATGTTTTATAGTCGTTTTAATTTATCAAACTGTCCTTCAATTTTAATGGTATTCAGACTTATTAAAGTTTTGTGCTTGTTCTGAGTTAGGCCTGTCAATCGTGTCTTGTTCGGGTTTGGTGGTCGCGGGTTGGCGGGTCAAAATATACCAACCCGGACACGACCTATTTAACTATACAGGTCACAGGTCGGCGAGTTTGGAACATACACCCATATATGACCCGTCAACCCACTTATTTATATGAGTTCACAGGTTGGTGGGTTCGTTGGTCGGATTTTGATTCGTGGGTCAGTTTTGGGTTTGTGTGTTCGTGGGTCAGATTTCATAAATAAAATTGATAATTAAACATTAATAAATTCAATGCAAACATATCCGAATTTTAGAAACTTAAGTCTTAAACATCCAAATGAAAATTAAAAACATTCATGGAAACATGTTCAAACTAAACATTAATACAAACATAGATAGATTAAAACGTATGCTTCGACGTTGTTCGATAATGATTCAATCATTCATGACGTCGTTCTTCGTAAGTTCATTTTGTCGTTCATCACATAGGGGAGACTAGGAGAGGGCTTATTCGATTTTGTTTGTGAGATACTGACATTATTTAGGGAAAACGCCAAACGTGTCACAATGCAAATCAGCAAATGGTTACCCACGGGTCAAATGACCAATGGTATCGGGTATCATATCCTAGTATAAAGTATAAACTGTATAGTGTATAATACTTAATACATTTATAAAATATATAATTTTTTTATTAAAATTATAAACTGGTTGGCGGGTCAACCCGTATATTTTTTGAGAAACTCATATATGACTTGTTTAATAAACGGGTTGACGGGTTGGCGGGTTGAAAAACTCAACTCAAACCCGTTTATTTCGTGTCATGTCGCGGGTCGTGTCGAGAATTGTCATGCCTATTATGGGTAATGTGAGGATATGGTGAATCAAGAACAATTTTTAAGTGTTTTTCTGATCATAATAGGGATGTTGTTCAAGAATGATGAGATTAGGAAGTGGAGAGAACTTGAAGATGTATGAGACGAAGGTGACGGGGAGGAGGCTGGGGAGAATAACGAGGGGTAATTCGGTTAATCCAATATATAGCAAAAGAGTTTTAAAATTTAATGGCAATTTCATCAATTAGGTTTTTATTTTAAATTAGAATGATTATTAAATGTTAAAAAAAACTGATTAAAAGAGTTTTAAAACATTTAAAAAATAACTTTAGACAAATATGATATTTTAAAAATTAAAAAGGATAAATATGATATTTAAATTTTAGACGTATCAAATATGACATTTTAAAAGGAGAATTTCATATATATCCTTCTTAAAAATCAAAATATCATATTTGTCAAACTTAATTTCTTAATATCACATTTACCCTTTATAAACTTTCAAAACATCATATTTGTCTAAATCTTTTTTTACAATGTTTTTAATAGTGTATAATCATTTTTAATATCTTGGAATTATTATAAGAATTAAAAAATTTAACCATATTGTTCTTAAGTCTATAATAATGGAACATCTACTTTTAAATTGTTGGACGTTTTATCTTCAACCCTCTCCATAAAATGTATGCATTGATTCTTAATTTTTGTTGTTTTTGAATATTGTCATGTTGTAGATGAATAATATTTTAGATATTACCATTGATATTTTGATATTTAAGAAGGACATATATGATATCTTAATATTTAAGAACGACACACACACACACACACACACACACACACACACACACACACACATATATATATATATATATATATATATATATATATATATATATATATATATAGAGAGAGAGAGAGAGAGAGAGAGAAAGAAAGAGAGATAGGTTCAGGTGTTTAAAGTAACTATTGTGTTATTGTATGCATAAATGTGGGCCAATCAAAATTAAATAAAAAATTAAATAATTAAATAAATAAATAAGGGTAATTTAGTCATTTGTTTAATAACTTCCAAAAATAATCCCTATAATCATGGTATCTCTCCAGTTTAAATCTTCTTCCCCTCTTTATCTAAAAACCGATTCTGAAAACCCTAAATTGAACAAATCGACACCCCCACCCTTGTCCCTCCAGCCGCCATTACCCCTTTATTCCAGTCTGCATCAAGTTCCGATTCCGACTCAGAGTCGGACGACAAAGCTCAAGCTGCTCTCGAATTACAAACCCTAGAAACGGAGCTCTCGACAAGGAGCAGCGAAGCAGCGGCGCAGGTGAGGTTTTCGGAGGTGTTTGCTTGATCGGAGAATGTGCGGGATGCGATGGGGGGTTGCTCCGGTAATCTCCTTGCTCCCCCTTTCTTTCTGATTTAACAGCCAACAACGAAGGAAAATGGAAGCAGGCAGAAAACGACCTAAGGGGAGTTTTTTGTTTGTTTGATTCTTTTAATAGGGAAAGATAGAAGGAAAAGGGAGAGGATGTTGGTCTCTTGATGTTCTTGGCAGAAATCAAAGAAGAAGAAGAAGAGAAAGGAGTTGCTGATCTCTTCTGTTTGCACTAGAAAACATCCACTTCGGTGGTGTGTTCTTAACTGAAAACGAAGAAGAGAAGGAATGCAGGGGTGATTTTTCTTTTGTATTAAATATTGATTGTGAATCGATGCAGAAAAGAATAGAGAATGGAAGAGTGTTTATGTAGATGATTCAATGGATGATATTGGTGAGATTCCAATTCTATTGGAATGGAATCACGAATCCCAATTCTGTTGGAATGGAAAGACGAATTCCAATTCTGTTGGAATCACAGAAGTTGGTGTTTGAAGAACAGACCACAAAATTGAAACGAACCACATTATTCTTTTAGAATGTATTAGTCGTTAGATTTTGATGTTTTTTTTTCCCGTTTTGATTGTTTTTTAGTTTTATTCCTTAACAATAAATGTAATTCTTAACAATTGTTACCCGTATTCTATAAGAAATAATGTATTTTTTGTTTTTATTCTTCAATTGACTGTTCAAGGATTTGTTATTCTACAAGAAGTTTTTAAATTCACGATCAAGAAATAGGTTCAAGAATATTTTTATTATTTATGGTTCAAGAATATTTTTATTTTTGAATATACTCATAAACATATTCTGTCAGAATGTCCAAATTAAAAAAATTATAATACGTAAAATCGGATTTTTAAAATTAATAGAATCTATGATCCCTTAAAAAATGCAATTTTCCTTTATTAAATCTATATTAATTGATTAAATTACCCTTGTAATTAATTAAGATGATATTTTCAATTATATTTAATTCAATAATTTATATTAATCACTTTCTTGTAAATTTGATTGGCCCACATTTATGCATACAATAACACAATAATTACTTTGAATAGAATAACCTATGTCTATATATATATATATATATATATATATATATATATATATATATGGAAAAGTTCAATAGAGTACCATAATTATTGGTTTCTTCAAGGAACCAAATCTTTTTTTCAATTTCTAGAGCTTATTCTTTATCGAAAAAAAGATCTAAAAATATCTAAATTCATATATTAACATTGTGAATGTGAAAAATATTTTTCGGATTCACCGTGTGAATCCGGATTCACGTTGTGAATTTTCAAAGATTCACATTGTGAATTTGACGTAAAAATAAAAAAAATAAAAAAAATTCGAATTTGATATCATTGGAAAAAGGATAAAAAGTTATGAATTTCTGTATTTTTAGTTTTTTTTTTTTTTGATAAAAAATAAGTTGTAAAAGTTGAAAAAGAAATTGGTTCATTGGTTAATTATGGTTCTCTATTGAACCTCACCCTATATATATATATATATATATATATATATATATATATATATATATATATATATATATATATATATATATATATATATAATGGCATATGATATTTTACCATATTTTAAAATTTTATGAAGGATAAATATGATATTTAAAAATTAAGTGGAACAAATATGATATTTTTATATTTAATAAATGTATTTTGGAACTCAACAAAAAATACACAACGCTATCTATTGACTTTTTTATGTTAGATTAGTGCTATGTAAATCCAATAATATGAATAACGGCCCACCAAATGTTATGGATGATTATTCATTCAAATTTCAAATGCAAGAGGTTGGATCGAAAATGACCACAAATGATGCGTTTGTTGGGGTCTCCCTAAAGAAAAGCGTTTTGTGTGTGTTT